GTAACCGTCCTCGGAGGTTTGTCTTTTGGACAAATCCTTTTAGTACGTTTGATGCTAATGTGAGTTGTGACGACGGATTGTAAAAAATAGAATTATGTGCTGAAGTGATCTCACTGTTCTCAATACATCCCATATCCATGCAGGGGCAACTGTCTGGCACTCGACCAATCTGCCGTATTGTGCGGTTCCCAACAGCCACTTGGAACCATGTTCGTTTTGATTCAAATCTGAAAAGTCGACTGATTAGAGCTCATCACCTCAGAGAAGGAGGGACTGCGCCGCGGGGAGGAGTGCGTTTTGGCTCTGCAAACACTAGATATTTTCCGAGAAATGGAAGCTAAAGTGCTACCGTTAGAAAATGAGTTTGCACCATTTTGGACGGGTCCCTTTTTCATGACAGTGGGTGAGACAGAAGGTGCCGGCTGAACAACGGCTATAAAGCGCCGAAATGGAATTGAAAAACGAGTTTGCCATTAACACGTTCTAAGCTACCGGTCGCTCATAAGCGAGTGGCCACGTGGGACAATATGAGTTACCGGTAGCTCATATTCCCCCACAACTTACCGTCAGTCGCCATTTCGGCGCTAGTAGCCCTTTTAGCACAGAATTTGATGCAAACTTCAGTACCTAGGTTATTTGACATCCTTGTCACGGATATGTCATTAATTTTTAGTGTTGTTGCCATCTAACGCCACTGGGTTTTTTGGTACTGAATTCTATATAAACTTCTACACCTGAGTTATCTGACATCCTCACTACAACTAGATGCTACCTTTCGAGTGCCGGCGGCATATGGCGCCAGTAGGCGCCAAGCTTGGCAATACTGGACAACGAGGCGCACTCCGGAGTCCCTGATGGGAAACATAATGCGTTTTCCGCAGTCAGGATGTCGGACTCCGCAGCATGGCGCCTGCCGCTCCGCATTTTGCGCACCAGGCTTACATAAAGGCAGTCCGGCTGTCGCGCTCCAGGATGAACGCATGAGCGAAAAATGACACTTCGCTGGACTCAGCCTTAGCAGACTCTAAATAGCGCACAAACGGAAAATGCGTATCAGCATGAATTCATTGTATGAAAGTGAAAAAAAATACAAATAAGCCACAGTGAAGATTTAGGATGGAATGCGAAAACACAATCGCGCTGAAAAATGGGTGAGGATGGTAGGAATAGCATCCCCTGCAAGATTGCCTTATCATTTTGTGAAAATTGACAAAGGCGGCAAAAAAGTGGGTCCAAGACATCCTGGTACGAAGCATAACGTTAATTTGCGGCGCCAGCTTACTTAAGGCAACATTAGTACGCTTCATACACATTGAGGGTGTATGAGACTATCAGCCCCCAGATGTCGATGTGTCGTGGTCCCCCCGCCCAAACATGCCCAGGAATGGAGATACAGGGCCGTGAAACACGCTAATTCCTCCATGCTCCGCCCACTGCCTTTTTACGGCGCAGATTCCCGCCGTTCATAACATCCGTCGTAAGCGCGCCTGTCGCGTGCGGCCTCCTTGGGCACTTCGACAAGTGCCTTTAAATTGCGCTCTCAAACGCCCAAGGAAACGCAATTTCCTGACGGATAACATGGAGGTGCCACCTACAAAAGCAGCAGAAGATGGATGACAAGGGGCAGAACTCAAGAGCAACTCGGCTGCATCTGCAGTATCCATCAAGGGCCGCGCATTCCCACAAAACATGAAAATAAAAACAGCCCAAGCGTCCCACTCGTTTGTTCTAAGTATTTCTATGGCTTTGGCGCCGGATCGTAGAAATTTACAGGCCAGTTTATCTAATTTGCCTTTCCTTGATTTTTTCATTTTGTTTTTTACATTTACATCGTTTTCATTTCTAGCCTGTGTCTTCATCTCCTTGTACATGGATTTTGAAGTATGAGCAACACCTAAAATTTTATTCGCATCAGGAAATTGCGTTTTGCTTGTATTAAACTAACGAGATGCTTTTGTATTTTAATGTTTCGTGCGAAATACGCGTTGCAGAAGTGAGCACAGTTGCTTTCAAGTTCTGACCCTCGTCATCATCTTCTGCTCTTATTTTGTAGCACCTCCAATGTTATCCGCATCAGGGAAATTGCGTTTTCCTTGCATTTGAGAGCGCAATTAAAGGACTTGGCAAAGTGCCAAGGAGCCGCACGCGACAGGCGCGCTTACGACGGATGTTATGAACGGCGGGAATCTGCGCCGTAAAAAGGCAGTGGGCGGAGCATGGAAGAATTAGCGTGTTTCACGGCCCTGTATCTCCATTCCTGGGCATGTTTGGGCGGGGGACCACGACACATCGACATCTGGGGGGCTGATAGTCTCATACACCCTCAATGTGTATGAGCGTACCATGTGTCTTTAAGCGGTTGTGCGAAAAAGGAGGACCACAATAAGCCAGCCGGTGGTCACAGCGGACCCATGCAAAATGCTGCAATTGTCCCGCGCGGCAGCTTTCCAAACGCTATTGTCGTCAACGTGTTAAAGGAGAGGTCAAAGCTTATTTTGAGAATTTCATTAGTTATTTTATTTTTATATTTTTTTTAGATTTTTTATTTTCTTTTTCTCTTGGAAAGTTATTTGAATCAGCTACTCAATCTCAGCTACTCGAATGCAGTCGATATCATCGCAATCAGTCGGGTCGCTTTCGAGAGGGGTGCGAAGAGCCCACTCGCGGCGTTTCCGTCAGTGTAGTTTTCTTCCTAAATCGATCGCTAATCGAACTTCATTTGTATATCCAAGCGGCTAGAGGGGGTCACCCCTCCCCCCCCCCCCTCCTACACCGCCCCGCTTGATGGCGGTGTTACATAGTAGTATATCTCTACATCCTGAACGAACTTTTTTGCTCATCATGTATTCCAAGGTGTTAACCTACTGAACCAACTTCATATCTAGCTTCTATCAAAAGTTGGAAAACGCTTGGTCCCGAAACGCAACTCTCCAAGAGCACAGTGCATAATTTGAAAAAAATCAAAATTTTTGAGAATCGCAGCGTAGGACTTTCAACTTCCTCCTTTTTATGGCCTCAAACGCGCGGCGCAGAAAAGGATGCGTAAAAAAAGGCAAGCCTTACTGCTACTTGGTCAAATGTATTGAAAAAAACACCGAATATTGACGAAAACCCTTACCCGAGCGCAGCATGACTGCAGACATAGTACACTTGCTGCCGGCATGACCCTGAGCTTTGTATAAGCCTGAAGTAGAGTTTTAAAATTCGGAAGGATTTCCATATAAATATATTGGGTTGGCCCATAAGTAATGGCGTTTTTTTCTGCATTAAAACTTCGTGCTGAAGGCGAGAAGTTTTGCCTCTGGTTTTCAATACTACTTTGCAGAGGATTCCTTGCCCTACACGGCAGACCTCTTAGTTTTTCTAAAGATTCTGCTTTCATTACGATTAAAGTGTTCAAACTGAGAGTGTCAGGTCGACGAAATTGAGCATTTTCGACAGCCTCTCTTTTTCACCTCTAATTAAAAAGCTAAAACCGCATAGCCCTAGATGGTAAGTGTATGGCCAAGAAGCTATGTCTCTTAGAAATACTTTCCAACGGTTCCACTAATTCGAAGACATTAATTTCGACCTCACAGACAAGCATCGGACCTAATGACCTATTGAGTTCAACTGATATGTGCATAGCTCACTGAATCGCCTTATTCATGGAGATTCATACCACAGATGAGGAATCGTTAGAGGTCATGGAGCGCTTCCTTATCATATCAAGCATCACCCTCAGTTGATGTTAGACGTTCGAAAGTTAGTGGGTAGGTTCTGCAGGCAGTCGCTCCTCAAGGGGGCGCCCCATGCGATTCACATTTACAAGGTCCGAATTCCCACCTCTTGATCGCTTGAGCCAAGTCATGAGAAGCGCCTTTCGATTGTCATAGACGTCACAAGTTTTGCGCTTCTTCTGTGATTTGAGAGCCGAGATAAAGTGCAAAAAGTTGTTGTCAAAACTCACTTTTGTGTCGACCCACACTCCATTTCAATGAGATAAAAATCAGCGAAAATCAAAAGCGTCGGAATTTCAATACAGTCTCTATTATTAGCCGAATTCATTTTTACTTATCAAATTTAGGCCATAAAAATTATTATTGGGCGGAGGTGGCAATTCTCTTTTCGTGTAAAAACTTGTGGCAAGTATAAACGTCAGCACTTATGGACCAACCCAATAGATCATCTTCAAGCTGTCTGCCATAAGAGTAATGCCATTCATCCTAATAAAGATTGCAACGTGTAAAGAGAACGCTCACAATCAGTTTGCTGTCTTGACAAGCAAGCAAAAATGCACCGAGGATTGAGAAGGGTAGCGAGGGTCCAGGGATACAGCATCGTTGTACGTCAAACCCATGGGGGGGGGCGGCGTCGTACTTCTTGCTCTGGGAAGGGAGACGGGTCGATTATTAATTTTTTTGTCTTTTATCATATCACCGCTGCCTATATGCATTCTGTACGCCCGTTGGGATATAGGTTGCAAAGATATTTCATTGCAAAAAACCCCTCCCCCGCTCGACACTTTTTTCGCCGACTTACTAACTTCGTTGCTCGTCGTAGGGCGCAACCAGCTTGGACGGGGGGGGGCGTTCATGCCTGGACCTACATTTCGAAGGGGGGGGGGGCGTACTCACACCTTAAACTTCGCACATCCCCATGCTGTACCGCTGCGCATGGGCCATAGAGAAGACTTTTGCAGGAACTTGCGGTCACGAGCGCAAACAGTTAATTGGACTTATTACCACTTTTCATTATGATCTTTGACATAAACGTTTGTTATGAATTTGTTCTTCTGAAATATGAGCCGGAATTCCCATATTTTTGGAGAAAATCAAAAGGGAATTTTCCACACATTTGGAGAAAATTTTTATAACAAACTTTAGCCAAATCATAATGAAGAATTCAATTTCTCTAATTAATTCAATTTCTCTAAATATCTAAATACCAAAAACTGTAGATTCTTGCACATCATTTACTTGATCGGCTTTAGAGAGAAGTGAGTGCCTCGTCCCCACAAAAGTTGCCCAGTCTGTTGTTAGGGAGCCAGAAATGACATAACTAAAATATGTAGTATGCCCAGCGGGCCAGCATGCACCCACTTTGCAAGTTTTTCACTGGTGAAATCGCGGTATGAAATGATGAACATGGCATCGGTAGGGTCGTCCGATGATCGAATGACCGTCTCGTTGGGCATATCGTGGGGTATTATTGTCCTGAAAAAGATCTATTTGACTAAGAAGGAAAACTATTGGTTGTAAGTTTGAATAAAAATATTATGGTCAGCGTTGGCCAACCCATTCGAGAATACGCACGGCATTCCTATTCCCATTTTGGAGAAACATGAAAGGTGAGTTAGTTCTGTGAGACTTTCAAATAACTGGGAGTTGAGCTAGGTCGTGCCTATGGCCCAGGGACATCCTAGTCGATAGACTGAGCAAATCCATTTACCGGTCTCTACCGTCATCACTATTCTTTATCTATGAAAAGTGAAAACAAGGGAACCATTAGTGGTTCTAATGAACAAGGCCTATTGTAGCTCATTTGCTGCGATCTTGATAAAAGATTATGTGGGCCCACATCTTCCGGCACAAAGTTTGATTTACATCTTCCACGCTAGATGACATGGAGGGATGGCCCTCAAACGCGCATGTACTTCTTAGCATACCTGCTGCTGGTACCTGCGTAACAGAAAAGGCGAAAAGTGCAGAGTGGTCGACCTCTTCTGCTCATACCTTCGTACATATCCTGCCGTTGAAAGGAAATTTTTGAACAAAATTCCCTCCTTCGGCACGACCCTTCTTCTACATACTACCCATCTTTCCTCCAGAATCTCTCCAACCTTTTACCATTTTTCCGGAGAAAGTTTTCCAGCTCTACTGATTTTCTTCGAGAAAGTGCCGTCCAGCAGGGCGGGAAGGGGTATGTAGCGTACTTGAAACAGGAAAAAAACGAGAAGAGTCAACAACCGAAAACATTTTTCACAATGGCAAATACGATACCCCTTCCCTCAACGCCTACCCCCGCCCTCTCCACCTCGTTGGGATCGCCACCCTACGACTGTTCTGGAAATGAATCAGCAAATCAGAATCCCTACCTCTCTAATTATTGCATAAGACTACGGGTATCTTAAGTTAGAAAAAGGACATAACTCCCCATTTCTCTGAAGTCTTGGTTTGGAGATGAGCTGGTCCAGTGAAAAATAGTTATATGTTTGAACGATCGAATGGCAACCTGCGTAACCCCTTTATTTTCACACAGCACGAGCCATGTATGATCCGTGCTATTGTTATGTATTGTTCAGAAATACCCACGTGCCGTTGCTGCAAACTGCCACACTGCCGTACAGGGAGCGGCTACCGTCAACATCCAGGTGTGTGGGCCCTGACGATATAGCGTGAAATGTGTGAGCTTCGGCACAAGTTCGCGGATCGAGTGCTGAAATGTTCAACGATCATCTGTTAATAAAGTAAATACACTCTAGTTCGCTGCGGACGGTTGGGCGTGTCAGGCAGTATGAGCCATTCTCTGCCTTCTTGTTGAAGCGCGCATGCGACAAAAAGTGGTAGAAAACGAGTAATACGAACGATATGATACAGTCATATCATTTGCTCGCTTTAACAACTGGTGGAGAACGGGTTTGGCACCGCGCCAAACTCATCCCGCCTGACACGCCCAACCGTTTGCAGCGAACTATACTATGGTTGTCATGATTCATGCAAATGAGGGAGCATGTGAAGTGGAATGTATCAGAGCACACCAGGAAGGCCTATCGCGCCAGTTGTTACGGACTAAAGATGCATCATGGGTAGAAGAC